AGAATCTAATGACACTAATGACCAACATGTTTGGTAAACAAGTGAATTGAGTTTGGGATCATGAGGAAAGGCCTTTTAAACAACCCTCCGGACTTCAAAAAATCTCTTCAGGTAGTAGATCTGTCCCAATGTCATGGCAACTAGAACAAGAGCTTCAAAGAAGGACCAAAGGACCACTCTGCTGTTTGTGTTGTCGTTGACTGTTGAAGACAAAAACAAAACAACAGAATTTAACAACAATCTCCCAGACGAGACGAGCAGTATAAATTATTCCTAGGCCTCACGCAGCACTGTTTCGCACACCACAGGACTCCTGGCCTCAGCTAACTCGGCATCCTCCAGGCAGAGATGTTGAGCTCTACAAGGGACCCTGATGATCTCTAAACAGCTCAGCCTAAATTCAGGGACAGAGTGCCACCTGCCAAGGTCATACTTCCAAGGTTAATCTCCAGCCCCACACTCTTGCTCTCACACCGTGAATGTCCTACATTATAGTGCTTTTACCTGAATCAGACATTTGACTTTAGGATTTTTTTTTTTTTTTTTGACTAGCTCAGGCTGCACTGCAGGCGAGTCTGTTGTGGCTTGTGGAGCTGGGGATCGAACCACATTCCCCTGTGCCTGACTTAGTTTGCCCAAGCAGGCACTTTAAACAACTGAGCTAACCCGGAAGCCCCAAACTAATCCCTTTTTTTCAACTGACTTGAAAAAAAGGGATTATTTCAAGATTAGAGTTAACAAAAACCATAACCTATCACGTCAAAATATGCCAGTCTAAGTGTATTTTTCCTTAAGTATTTAATGAACATATAGTATAAGAAAGAGACTAAAGGTTTTATGGCCTAAATGTGTTAAATAAAATGCATAAAACTTTTTTTAAAAAATTAATCAAAAAATAAAATTAATAAAAAAATTGATCAACAAGGGCCAGGGAGATTGCTCACTAGAATAAGCACTTGCCTGGCAAGAGCAAGGGCCTGAGTTCAACCCCCGGTTCTGCCAAAAATAAATAAATAAATAAAATTAATCAACAAAATATTTAACTGAGCACCTCCTATGCACGAGAAGCTTCTCAGCTTCATGGAGTGGTTATGGTAGTTATAAGACCGCCGGGTGTCAGACAAACCATTCCTGCTGCTCTCAAGCTAGAAGTGTGACTCTTCTTTCTTTCTTTTCTTTTTTTTTATTCTTTTCTGTATTTTAGGGCAGGGTCTACAGGGTGTTCTAGATCAGACTCATAGTGATCCGCCTGTTTACAGCCTCCCAAGAGCTGGGATTACAGCCCGGGCAATCACACCCCATCTCAGCGCACCCCAGGGGCGAGGCCAGCAGGGCAGGCCCTAAAGCTGTGACTCTTGAGGAAAACCCAGGATTATGGTACATCCACTCCACTCCTGTCACATTTCCACCAGGTACAGTTATTTTTCCTTTTTTTTTTTTTGTGGAACTGAGGATTGAACTCAGGCCCTTGTGCTTGCCAGGGAAGCGCTTATCCTACTGAGCCATCTTCCCGGCCTCTTATTTTTCTATTGTTACTTCTGTAAACCACTAGGTAGTTCCCCAACTTCTCCATAAATGGCCAAATGTCAAAAACAATTACAATTAATAACATTAACTAGTTAAGTGGCTGCCATACTGTTGGACACATGCCATTTATAAGAATAAATGATCTGCAATCTCTCAGTAGATGTGAAAAGCAACTTTTTACAAAAGGATAATTTTGTTGCTGAAAAATCGTGTGTATTTTTCAAAGTAAAAACAAATGCTGGGGGGCTGGTGAGATGGCTCAGTGGTCTAAAGCACCTACTTAGAACAAGCTTAGCAAAGCAAAGGGACAGCGGTTCAATCCCCAGCACCACATGCCAGCCAGCCCTGCCCCCTGGTGGGCTGAGCTGGCCACACACACATACACACACACATACACACACACACACACACAAATAAATAAAATTAAAAAAAAAAAAAAATGCTGGGCTGGGGAGATAGCTCAGTGGAAAAAGTGCTTGCCTGGGCTGGTGAAATGGCTCAGTGGTCTAAAGCACCTACTTAGAACAAGCTTAGCAAAGCACAGGGACCACGGTTCAGTCCCCAGCACCACATGCCAGCCCGCCTGCCCCCTGGTGGGCTGAGCTGGCCACACATACTCTCTCTCTCTCTCTCTCTCTCTCTCTCTCTCTCTCT